CATTTCATCAAGTCCCAATCTCCTGCATGATATAGGGAGATCAAGAGGCCTGGCAACTCTAATAGTTACCTGCTCACTTTCATACCTTTCTCCCTGGTAGGTTTCCTTCAGTTATGTACTTCTAGGTCAGTGGTTCTCAACCTGTGGGTCGGGACCCCATTTGGGGTCGATCGACCATTTCATGGGGGTTGCCAAGCAAGGCTGTCCGCCATTTTTTTTGTCCGCCATTTTTTTGTCCGCCATTTTTTCTCCCTTTTCCGGTGGGTGCCTTACCTCCCTTGGGCTGGGCCAGCTGGTGGTCGGCCTGCTCCGTCTCTGCTGCTTGCCAGCTACGCCTCGGCCGGCGCAGGGGGCGGAACCACGCATGTGCGGCGCTCCCGGGCAGGGAAAGTCCTCGACTTACGACCAGTTGGGTAGTCCTCGACTTGCGACCGGTTTAGTCCTCAACTTACGACCGGTTTAGTCCTCAACTTACGACCGGTTTAGTCCTCGACTTATGACCGGTTGGGGTCGCAGCATTAAAAAGGTTGAGAACCACTGTTCTAGGTCTTCACATTCATTTCTCCTGCTCTGCATAATATATCAAAAGTATAGAAATGATATGCTAATGTTTTTCTTGCTCTGTTATTAGAGCAGTGTTTCTCAACCTTGGCAACTTTAAGAAGTGTAGAATTCAACTCCCAGAATTCCCTATTCAGCAGTTATGTTTGTTTGCTGTTAAAGTTACTGGTATTTTGTTTTCCTTCCTTATAAGTGCATATTGCCCATAATTAGGTTTATTGTATGAACTGGTGACTGTATTCCCATCTGTCAAATGAATTTCATTTAACTATATAGCAAAAGGCAGACTCTTTTTTTCTTAAGTTATGGAATGGGAAAAGTGACGCTTACACCATGTTCAACATCTGTGTGTCCTACATATATGTATATATAATTTGAACTTCTGCTCTGGAAATTCTAATTTATGACAAAAAGCATACACTTGGAAGAATCGATTCATCTCTTCTTGATGAACGCTGTGGGGTTTTCTCCAGCCAAACAGATGTTTGGCATGTTACTGTTTACTTTTTTCCTCTGACACTATCACTCTTTCTTGCTTACTTTTTTCCTCTGACACTATCACTCTTTCTTGCTTTGCTTCATTAAGTGTTTCTTATTGAGTCCACTACTGGAAGTGGTTTTGGACACATAAATAAATGTGTCTGTCTGTGTGTGTGCATAAGAGAATAACATAATCAAATATTATAAATAACACCTAATCTCAATGTTGAAATAAATCATCTAATAAATACAGGTAGTCCTCAACTTACAACAGTTCATTTAGTGACTATTCAAAGTTACAGCAGCACTGAAAAATGTGACAGTGCTGTTTTTCATAGACACAACCTTTGCTGCATCCCCATGATCGTGTGATCAAAATTCAGAAGCTTGGCAACTGCTTCGTATTTATGACCATTGCTATATCCCAGAGTCATGTGATGACCTTTTGTGACCTTCTGACAAGCAAAGTCAATGGGGAAGCCAGATTCACTTAACAACTTTATAAACTGCAGTTTATATGTGGCAAGCAAGGTCGTAAAATGGGGCAAAACTCACTTAACAAATGTCACACTTAACAACAGAAATTTAGGGCTCAATTGCAGTCGTAAGTTGAGGACTACCTGTATTACAAACACATGCTATCAGATGGTGCCCAGCACTATTCCAACTTTGCTGATGGCTGCAGATTAAAGAATATTAAGGACATAATGGCAGGCAAAGTAATGTTAGATTCTGAACTGAACTGTCCTAGGTGTCCCTCCTTATGGGATTAGTATTGTTGCAATGTCTATGGAGATTCTCAGTCATCCAGGTCATAGTTATCCCAAAGATGCTTTTTCACGAGGCAACTGGACTTTCTTGTTTTTCTTTGAAGACGTTTTGCTTCTCATCCAAGAAGCTTCTTCAGCTCTGACTGGATGGTTGGGGAATGGAAAGATTTATACTCCTGCAGACAGCTTCTTGGATGAGAAGCAAGACGTCTTCAAAGAAAAACAAGAAAGTCCAGTTGCCTCGTGAAAAAGCATCTTTGGGATATTGTTGTGATGGGAACTCTTTCGATTGGAAATGCAGTGCTTCATTTACTTCAAAATGTGGTAAGTAAGGCCTGATTAATTTGGATGGGTTTTTGCTGGATGACAGCCTGTCTTGTGCCTCAAAATGATTCCCCTTCACTGGACATTGACCTCTGTTATAGGAAGTTTCAAATGATTTCCCACAGGACAACACTATCCAAACTGCTGGCCTTCTGTATCTCCTGCAGCAATTAACGTTTTATGTAGTGAAAAATATAAAAAAGTGTCTTGCTTTTTACGATATTCTCCAGTTGCCAGGTCTGCTTCCAAAAAATAGCGGACAAGCGGGGGTGTGTGTGTGTTAAGTAGTAAAAAAAAGTAGACTGTACAGCTTTAGATTACGTACCATTTCATCATAAAGCTTTTGAATAAAAAAAATGTCCACTATTTTGTGAAAAAAAATAGTGAACATAATGTGAAAAAAGCGGACTGTCCACTCAAATAGTGGACACCTGGCAACCCTATCACTGGACTGATCGTGAATTCTTTCGTTACTGCTGTACCTTGTTTCGTTTAGTTTCCAGATTTACTTTTCAGATTGTGCGAACTTGACGTAACGCGCTCGATTCCAGCTCGCTGCGATCTCTACGTCCACGTTGCATCCACCAGCGCTTCTTTTCATTATGACGTCAGCAGCTCCTGGCAACAGGAGAAAATGGTTGCCTCGGCAACGTAAACAAGAACGGAGAACAATGGAAGAGGCGGAATGCCGAGAACGCTGGAGCCTGCCTCTTGTCCGAAAGCGCTGCGGCGCTTGAGTTAAATTGGCCAAACGGACTCGCAAAACCTCCGGGACGGATGTTTGCCGCGCAGAAGCAATTAAAAAGAGAAACGCGGGATCGGGAAATTGTGCTTTCTTTCAGTAGAGAGTCATCCTTTTTTTTTTTTTTTTTTTTCTTTCCACAATCGGAAGAGAATTCAGGGTGAGCGCGATCTGCTTTCTTGAATTTCCAGCGTTGGTGAAAAAAAAAAGGCTGTTGTGCTTGGGTTGTCTAAAAGCAGGGGAAAATCTACAGGGGGGAAAAAACAAAACAAAAACTCAATATTGAAATTAAAAATCTACGTCTCTGGAGTGAGATTACCCAGCGATGTATTTACATCTGTGGTCATTCGTCTTATATTGCTATCAGGAGGTTTTAAACTCCTTTTACTACGTTCTCCTCTCTCTCCCCCTTCTCCCCGTTTGATTTATATATTTGTGCTTTCAAGTGCAATATATTTACGCAAGCACTTTTTTGTACTTTGGTTTCCTGTATGTAACCTTTCTGGGAGGGAGAGAGAAAGGATGGCAGCCCCAGGCTGTATTTGAACAGTATAATATTAAACAGGCTGTTAAACAGTAATCCTGTCTCAGCTCTTGCATGATGGCAGGCCTCAAGTCAAAAGGTTGTTTCAATCTACAGCAGGGGTCTTCAAACTTGGCCCTTTTATGACTTGTGGACTTCAACTCCCAGAATTCCTCAGCCAGGCACGCTGGCTGAGGAATTCTGGGAAATAATAATAATAATAATAATAATAATAATAATAATAATAATAATAATAACAACAACAACAACAATAACGATAAACTTGGAAGGGACCTCGGAGGTCATCTAGTCCAACCTCCTGCTCAGGCAGGAAACCCTATACCATTTCGGACAAATGGCTGTCCAGTTTCTTCTTAAAAACTTCCAGTGTTGGCGCATTCACCGCTTCTGGAGGCAGGTTGTTCCACTGGTTAATTGTTCTCACTGTCAGGAAGTTTCTCCTTAGTTCTAGGTTGCTTCTCTCTTTGGTTAGTTTCCACCCGTTGCTTCTTGTCCTGCCTTCAGGTGCTTTGGAGAATAGCCTGACTCCCTCTTCTTTGTGGCAGCTTCAAATGGAACTGAAGATGGAATTAGTGTGGTTTCCTCCCCACTCCCCTTCAAAGGCAGCTGTCTTTGAGCTTGCTTCCTCATCTGACACGATGATGAGATGCTTTGAACCTTTTGGGTCTCTTGGGTAAAATGCAAGTAGTTCTTGACATACAGCCACAACTGGGGCCAGAATTTCCATTGCTGAGGAAGGCAGTTGTTTAATGAGTCATGCTTGATTTTTATGATCTTTTGTTGCCATGATTATTAAGTGAATCACTGCAGTTGTTAAGTGAGCCAGCTGGCTGTTAAGCAAATCTGGCTTATCCCATTGACTTTACTTGATGGAAGCCCCTTTGGGAAGGTTGCAAATGGTGATCACGTAATCCCAGGACTCTGCAACCAGAATAGCAATAGCAATAGCATTTAGGCTTATATACAGCCCCACAGCACTTTATAGCCCTCTCTGCTGGTTTACGATATAAGCATTATTTGCTTATTGTCCCCGACAATCTGGGTCCTCATTTTACCGACCTTGGAAGGATGGAAGGCTGAGTCAACCTTGAGGTCCATCAGGGTCGAACTCCAGGCTGTGGGCAGAGTTTGCCAACAACACTGCCCTTTAATCACTGCACCACCAGAGCTCACGAGTAAACACACACTTGTTGCCAAGTCCCCAAATTTTGATCACATGACCATGGGAATGCTGCAATAGTCATTAGTGTAAGGACCGGTCATAAGTCACTGTTTTCAATGCAGGTGTAACTTTGAATGGTTGCTAAATGAATGGTTGTAAGTCAAACCTGTAGTTTATATAATTCTGAAAGATGAGACCTGCTACTTCTGAGTGAGTGAATACACTACTGAGGCTTTAGGGCTTCAAGAACCATTTTACTAAGCAGAGAGGAGTTTTCTAAATACTTAATACCAAATTCAGGCCTTTGAATCAAGCTTGACTATTGGTGATTTCATGGTCATAGTCATGCAATTTTCTAGGCATCAGCATGGAATTGTTTTCCATCTTTTTCTTGCAGGATTGTTTTTCTCAACTTCCCAGTCTAGCCTACAACCTTAGCTTTTCTTGGTGGTTTCTTCTCCAAGTATCAGACAAGCCCAATCCTGCTTATCTTCTCGGCTGAGATAAGGTGGGTCAAGGACTACTATCTCTACAGGAAAAAGGTAAAGGTTTCCCTATCCCAGTGATGGTGAACCTTTTAGAGACTGAGTGCCCAAACTGCAACCCAAAACCCGCTTATTTATCTCCAGGTGCCAGGTGGGCGTGGTCCACTGGGTGGGTGTGGCTGTGATGGTCATGGCAAACTGGGTGGGTGTGGCCAAGGTGGGCGTGATCACCTTGATGTTGCTTATGGGGAGGGATGCCTGTGGGGGCTAGGCAGGGTTGGGGGAGATCCAGGGGGTCTCTGGCAGGTGGGGCGGTGAGCAGGAGGCTCATCCTGCAGGGGGAGGCGAGGCAAGGTGGGGTTGCCATTGTCGCAGGGCAAGGTGAAGCAGGGGCCGGGGTGGCTGCTGCCTGTCATCGGCCCCCGCATACAGAGGTCAGCGAGCGCATGGGGCTGACTGTCCGTCAGCAGCCACAGCCTGCCGGCCCCTCAACCGGCGCACTCTGGGGCTCTGCAGCTCACCACCAGCAGTTCAGAGAAGCCGCCTCTGAGCTGGAAGGCTGGCTGACAGCTGAGGAGGCAATGCAGTGGGACGTGCCCAGGAAAAGGATAGCATGCGAGGTCAGGAGGGATGGGACAGGGGGGAGGGAAACCAGCCATGCTGGGATGCATCCGACCACGTGGGACCTCGGTGAGTTAGCGGGCAGCTGGTTAAAGAGGGACAGTTGCCATCTCCGGGGCATGGCGTGCATGCCCACAGAGAGGGCTCTGAGTGCCGCCTCTGGCACACGTGCCATAGGTTCGCCACCACTGCCCTATCCTGTCCTGGGCTCATCTCTGTTTCTTGACTGAGGGAGACAACATTGTCTGAAGACATTTTCCATGGTCATGTGGCCATCATGGCTATATGTACATTCCCACTGAAATTGTAACTATCTACTCACGTTTGCATGCTTTTGAATGCTAGGTGGGGCAGGAATGGGAAATCTACCCAGGTCTCAAACATGGGCTGTCAGCTTTCCAGCTAATCTGAGCCATCACACACCCCTCATCCACTGATGTACTTTACAGTACATCAGCTTAATTTATTAGAAGCTACTGAAATGAGTGTGTATATGTGGTAAGATAGTTTTCTTGAAAACAACTGCTTCAAAGTTACCCACCGATGTAACACTGAGAAAGCACCTCACAGAATTGGTAGCCATTAATGTCATAGTGATCCTTCCTCATGGCTGAATGAGTGTTAATAATTGGGAAACAATTTCCAACTGCAGATTTCCAGACCCCTTTAAAGCAAGCAGACTACTTAAAATTATGGTGATGATGATTTCTACAGATCTTTTTTTGTTCAGATTAGCAGCATTTTATTTGACTCCATGAATATTTTATGTGCATGTTTCCCTTTTTTGTTTTGTTTTTGCTTAAAAATGAAAATAAACAACGTGTCATCCTTTTGATTTAATAGGATATGGCAGGGGTAGGCAACTTTGGCTTTTTTATGACTCGTGGACTTCAACTTCCAGAATTCCTGAGTCAGCCATGCTGGCTCAGGAATTCTGGGAGTTGAAGTCCACGAGTCATAAAAGAGCCAAAGTTGTCTACCCCTGGGATATGGCAATAGTGATACAAAGGTTGGGAGTAATTCAGGTTTTTTTCTATGGTGGAAAAAACTGCACCTGCAAAATTCCTTTCTTCTACATGTCATGAAATTGTAGACTTTTAATGTTGGATGGGGAATTACAAATCATTCAACCTAACCCTTTTCTCAAGAACAAAATGGATGTCCAGTGAATCGAAGCCTCCATCCTTTGCGACTGTTTGACGCAGTCTCGTTTTCAGTTATTAGGAGGGCTCTTCAAAATCTTTTTCATTACCATTTCAATTTCTGGCCCAAATGTTTAGCAGTTATAAATTAGTTTCTATACCATTCTATATCAGGTTTAGACGATCAATGAATAAAATCGCATTTAACAAAGGCTTCTTTATTCACATCTCTTCATAAGCCAAGATTCAGTGTTGCATCTTGAGACATCTGTTCACCAGGTGGGAATTCGTCAGCATTCTTGTAAAGCTAGAGCATCCTCAGAATGTCTGGAGTCTCGTTTGCCCCTTCAAATGCATCTACGGCCTCAGTGGACTCTGAAGAAATTTACAGTAAGACTATTTTGTTTTATTCCCTAGAATTTAATGCTTCCTTCCTTTCACAGTTTTAAAATTCATGTTAGGGTGTGAGCAGGTCCTGAAGCAGAATACAGACCTATCCTTATTATACATGTAGGTTGTTCCTTCTGAAACAGGCAACTTCATTGATGCTTGGTTTCTTTGGAGTTTAATACCTGGAGCATAACCTTCTCCTAGGTTGAAGTGAACACTTCTTGCAGGTCAGCAAAAAAGGTATCTATTGACATGGTGATGCTAAGAGGTACCAGGTTGTTTATTGAGAATTTATGTTCATATGGCTCTGTGTGTGTTTGTTTGTGTGTGTGTGTGTGTATGGGGGGGGAGAGAGAGGCCCCTATGGCTCTACTGTCAGGAAGATTATTTTTTCTTAATCTTAAGTCTGTTGGAAGGGGATGTTATTAATGAATGTGACTCTGTTCCCTATGAATAGAATAGAATAGAGCTGGAAGGGACCTTGGAGGTCTTCTAGTCCAGCCCCCTGCTCAAGCAGGAGAACCTATACCATCTCAGACAGGTGATTGTCTAGTCCCTTCTTAAAAATCTCCGGTAATGGAGCGCCCACGATTTCTGGGGGTAAGCTGTTCCACTGGTTGATTGTCCTCACTGTCAGGAAGTTTCTCCTTAATTCCAGGTTGCTTCTCTCTTTGATCACTTTCCAACCATTGTTTCTCGTCCTTCCTTCTGGTGCTCTGGTGAACAACGTGACCCCTCTTCCTTGTGGCAGCCCCTCAGATACTGGAATAATGTTATCATGTCTCCCCTATTCTTTTCTTTAGACTAGCCAAACCCAAGTCCCACAGCCGTTCTTTGTATGTTTTAGTCTCCAGGCCTTTGATGATCTTAGTTGCTCTTCTCTGAATTTTTTCCAAACTCTCAACATCTTTTTTGTGATATGGTAACCAAAATTGGCTGCAGTATTCCAGGTGTGGTCTTACTAGGGCACACCCGCAAAGTGCCCCATACAGATTGGTCTTCAGTCTTCAAACATTGAAGTATGATAAGTCCTGTGATGCTGACACTTACGTCCTAGCAACTTTCCCAATAACATAACTTATTTCTGGATAACTGAAATTTGTTCTTTATTGGTTCAGGGACACGAATGTTATCTCAGCAAACTGGAGATGTGTTTACAATATCCTCTGCTAAGTCTAGTTCTGGACGAGGTACCAAGTCAAGTAAGTCTCTCTTTTTAATCGTCAACTCCCAAATCCTATTATGCAAACAATCCTCAGCAGATCACTGAGCAATTTTAACACAATAGGTCAGTTTTCAGAATTGCCGCACAACAGAGAAAGCCATTCCCATTTTAGCAACTTTGAGCAAATCAGTTACCATTCTTGCATTATTGTTTCTAAACTTCCTCGACAATAGGATGTTTCAGGGTCAGAGCATCTTTCAAATAATGTAGAACCGATGTTCTTTAATGTTCTCTTGGGTCTGAAATCCAATGATATATTGTTGTTTTTTCCAAAACAATTTTTATTAGTTTTCTATTTTACACCAACACAGCTTAAGAACCCACATGGAAACATGGTGATCAATGTTTTTTTACAACAAACAATAACATAATAAATATATACACATTATTTCTTTAAAAATTCCCTCTCTATCTATATAGAATATTATACTCAAATTAATACATTTTCAGATGAATTCATTCATTACTATGTCTAACCATCAACTGCATTAATCAATAAAAAAATTTAATCTATAAAAACCTATATTTCTTCACACATTTAAACTTAAGCTTAATAAACTCTCCATTTATTTAAAAACATTATAATCAAGTCAATATCTTTCTAAAACCAATTCATTCACTAATATGACATTTCATTCAAGTTATATAATTAAAAATAAACTAACATTCTCTATTTATATTGTTATAAGCTCATTAAAACATTTCTAAAACAAATTTTCATTGAATATATCACTCTATATAAATTTCATTAATCAATAAAAGTTTACAAACTCATTATCCATCCCAAAGATCCTGTATCATGCTTTCTTAATTTTGCAAATATTTAAACTTAAACTAACATATCCATTTACTATTCAGGTGCCCCAAGTATTTTTTTTTTAATTTAAATATTATTAACTCCAAAAATAAATTCTTCTCTTTCTGACCAATATTCTATTGTTTTTCACTTTTTCTCCAAATCTCCAATAATTAATTCCATCCCAATGATATGTTTTCATGAACATTAAAACCTTCCCTTTGCGATCCTTGCCATACCTTTGAAATTCTTTTCAGAGCATCTTGAGGTCACAGTGAAGAATAAAGAAAAGAAGAGGGGATAAAAAGAAACATTTGTTTTCAAAACCAATGTTTATCATGTGGCAAATAATAAATTGTCTTGATTTTAAATAAGGCTAAGTATAGAGCTATTCATAATTTGGAAATGATTTGGACTAAATGCTTGAGATACCATTTAAATGTGAACACAGCACTACTGTGTCCAAATCTCTTTTCTAGTATGATATGTTGCAAGGTTTCCAAAAAGTCTTTTAACACAAAATGGGATAACTCGCTGTAGAACAACTCGCTGTGGGACAATTCAATGCTTAATTAATCATTTTAATCAGTTACTTTTATTATCGGTGACCACATTTCATTGAAAGTAGTGTAACTCTTGTATTTCTGGATTGACTTTAGTTATTATTATTGGCCAGGTTCCGTCGAAATTAATTTAACTTTTATATTTGTTGAACTGTCCTGCGATGAGTTGGGCATGGAATTATCAGTCAATTATATTTTTTCAAATGGTCATTCATTTGTGATGAACTTCACCAACTTTCTTTCATTCTTCTTTGCCCAGTTGGACACATTTTGGTTATTCTTATTAATTTCCTCATTATGTTAGAAAGACATAATGCTGCTCTGCTATTGCTTTTCTATTTTTTTTTTAATCTTTTTTTTTTCTTGCAGCTCCTCCTCAAGACAGAGACCTGCTCTTGGAACAAAACCCATTCAAAATCCCTGCAGATATTGATATTTTTTTGCTGCGAGATAAACAGAAAGAAAAGGCCAGGATGGTATGTAGAAAATACAGGACGTTTCTGAAAGAAATTCTCCTCACCTGTGGCCAATCAGAATGCCGACTATGTGATGTGCCCTCTTCCCACTGAACTGGTGTACTGTCTCATTGAATTAAGAGATTTCATAGCAGAAATAATGTCATTACTCATGCAATATTATTTTGTATGGGTTAAGGAGAATGTCTGAGACTTTTAGAAAAAACTCTGTGTTAAATAATAAGATACACCAATAGTTCTGGAAAAGAGTCAAAAGTGAAACCTAAGCTGAAGTGGGGAGAGCTTATTTTTTAAAAAAGACTACAGACATTAGGAGAGGATTGCGTGTTCAGACAGCATGGATAGAGAGACTCTTCTTTCTCGTAACATGGGAATCCAGCATCATCCAGTGAAAATGACTGGCTATGATAGCTGGAGGTTATGTTAACTGGAACTCAATCCAACTGGAGGGCAGCGGGTTAAGGAAGCTTGATCTTTGCTTTCCTTGTGTAGTCTTGCTCAGCACTACTATAGATTAAACAAATGTGGAATAGCAGCACCAAAGCTAATTTCATAGTAAGTACTGAGAGAAGGATACTATACCTCAGGTGTGTGGTATGGTATAGGGTTTCTTCCTTGAATAGGAGGTTGGAGTAGAAGCCCTCCAAGGTCGCTTCCAACTCTGTTTTTCTGTATTCTGCATATTTCATGTATAACTGATTTCATGGAATGAATAATTAGCTCGAAATGTAAGGACCTGCCCCAGCTGGTCCCTCAGGAAAGTGAAACTCTTGACTCCATTGGGGTTAATCAAAAGAACTTTTACTGAGAGAAAGTAGATACAGAAAAGTCAGGCTGAATCTGAACGTCCCACACAAAGCATTTTTTTCACTTCATCAAACCCAACCCCTGCCATAACCAGTCCATCAACATCCAATGTGATGCTGCAAGATTGTTTTGAGAACACTGAGGTGCTGGGTAGATAACAGGTCACCCTCAGGGTACGACAGCCTTGGAACCAGGCTGGAACCGGCTGGGAAGGAATCTGCTTCATCTCCGAAAATAATCCCCCTCCCTAATTCCCAAGCAGTTACAGCAAAAGTGAAAGCATGCGAAAAATGCCAGCAACCTTCCTCCCTACTCTCCAACTGAATGACAAGACAACAGCATGGTGGATCTGACATGCTGCCCCCTGAAAAAAATGACATCAGTCCTGCAGAAGGAAACATAATAAACAGGGAGAGAAAGAAAATTAGGAAGTTAAGGGAAACATTATTTAGGTTTATCAGGGTATTGATTATGAAAATGCTTTACAAGTCTGGGAGCTCTAACATGGCAGTGATTTACCTACTCATTTTAGGCTTTGGGGAAATCCTTCCACGCTACTAAATATTAGAGTTCTCCTATGCCCGCAGGAGTCTAAGATCTCTCCACCTTTAAAATGTTGCTCCTGCTCAGGAGGTGGTGGAAGGCTCCCCTAAGGGGAGAAATAACCTCAGGTTTTAATAAACTACAATGGAACACAGGATGGCCCCAACTAAGGGATTTGGCATTTCCAGTTCTGCAGTCACAGGGTTTATAATATGTTTGATGGGAAAGGGCCCCACAAATGTGGGTCCTAATTTCTTCGAAGGTTTTAGAGACTGTAGGTAATGGGTGGAGAGGTAGACACGATCACCAATATTGAATGGTTTGGGTTCTGTGTGTTTCTTGTCAGTCTGAGTTTTGTAAGCCTACTGGGCATCTGCAAGGGCTTTTCTTGTGACTGGCCATGTATTTCATAATTGGGAGACCCATTCTTTTAAAATACAGTTCCATTTTGACCTCCTGTGCAACTGCATTTTCTTTATGCTGGAAATATACATTTGCTGGGGCAGCCATCTTATAAAGCCTCCGATAACCGATGGAGCATTTAATCAACTCGCTCTTCCTTTACCTCTAGGAGCGAGAGCGACGGAAGACTCTGAAAGTCCATGAGAAGATGACTTGCTCCACTCTGCAGAGTGCCAAGCAGTCAGGATTCAAGAAAGCGATCGAAATGGAAGAAGAAGCTGAGGACAAGGAGTTAGCAGCAGAAGCCGAACGACTCAAAGCTCTCCGAGAAAGCCTCTCCTGGAAGATAGCAATTACTAAAGGTAGCTGAGGAAAGCATTCAGATCCTAGGATGCTATGAGGCAGGATAATTACTTGGAATCAGAACATAC